GGTAATACAGTCAGTCATCATTACTCCTGGATTTGTATTTTCAAATTTGCCTATTCACTAAAATTTATTCATAACCCCAAAGTCAATACTCATAGATATGCAGTCATTCAGAGTTAGAAGCAGAGCAGCAAAAACTCTGGGTCTTCCTATGAGCATAGTTTCCAGGCAAAGGGATACTCTGCCTCCTTGTTTCAGCTCTCATACCAAGATGAACGGAGGACAGAATTAAGAAACTCCAGTGCTGGGGCCAGAGGGAGGGGCTGTGAACCTCAACTCTGGCACCTTTTAGTGGGGTGGCCTCAGACAAGTCACTTAACATTTTTGAACCTTGTTTTCTCTTTGTAAAATAAAGAAAATAGAATCTACTAGTATGAACTGTTTTTAGGGTTTAACATTTTCATTTACAACTATGTAAATAATTTATAACTAGTTTGTATTTGAGATGAGAATTTATAACTATGTGGATAATTTATAGCTATTTCCCTAGGAACATTGATCCATGTTCTCTAACTTGATGTTTGCAGTGACTGTATGGAACATGACTACAGTGAATAACAACAGTCAGTTGTATAGCATTGGGCAAACTCCACGCCACTCTGGTGATAAGCATTCAGTCAGTCCATATTAGCTGAGGTTTAACCCATGCCTGCAGCATATAAATGATTGTCAACATAGAGTTTATGATGGATATGAAGTTATTTAAACATAACAGCAACACAAAATCCTAGCCCTTGAATAAGAATTCAGTAGAGGGGGAGGTGGAGTTGGGTTCCACAATGAAACAAATTAAAAACAAAGTAGAAAATAAATAGAAATAATTATTTTTAAAGACACTATGTAAAGTTATCAATCAGAAACTTTTTGCTGGGCCCCATCTCCCCATTGATTGTATATTTGTTGAACACATGTCACATTCCAATCTGCATTAGAGCCATTTTTTTTAAATAGTTTATTGTCAAGTTGGTTTCCATATAACACCCAGTGCTCATCCCCACAAGTGCCCTCCTCCATGCCCATCACCACCCTACCCCTTACCCCCATCCCCATCAGTCCTCAGTTTGTTCTCAGCATTCAAGAGTCTCTCATGGTTTGCCTCCTTCCCTCTCCCCCACTATTTTTCCCCTTCTTCTCCCCCTTGGTCGTCCATTAAGTTCCTCCTAATCCCCCTATACGTGCAAGCATATAGTATCTGTCCTTCTCTGCCTGACTTATTTCGCTCAGCATAACACCCTCAAGGTCCATCCATGTTGCTACACATGGCCAGATTTCATTCTTTCTCATTGCCATGTAGTATTTCATCGTACATATAAACCACATCTTCTTGATTGTCAGTTGATGGACACTTATAGAGCCATTTTTTTTTTAATGTGACTTAAAGTCATACCATTTAGCACAATAGCTTATATATTACAGATACCCAATAAATGTTTATTGAGTGAATGGAAGATTGGATGAATGATTATCTAATGTTCTAAAAAGTTGTCTCTACTCTCTCCAGTATCATCTCTTTGATCTGGGTTACTCAGGAACAAACTAGTTCTAGCTGTTATGATGAATTAATGCAAGTGAGATAATATATTTCCATTTATGATGCCTTTTAAAATGTTATTTATTTTTTATTTTATTTTTTCTCAGTGGGATTATACATACTTTAACCCAAAGGGAATAATTTTTTGAGCTACTATCTGCACTAAATTGCAAAGTCAGGTGGGAGCTAGTCCTATGAATTAATAGACTCAGCTACTTGCCTGATTTTCTGAAAAAGGCTTTCTGATCTTATTATGTTAACATGCTTATTATAAAAGATTTCAACACATAGAAAAATATGGAGAATTGCATAACAAAGGCATGTAGCTGTGTGTGTATGTATCACTTAACACTCTCAAATGTTAGGTTTGTAAAACTTACTATAGTTAATTAATTGTGGTCTTTTAAGTCCTCACCACAGCTTATCAATCTTAGTGCCAATTAATTAATTAATAGTGTTAATTAATTAACCATTAGACTAACTTCACTCACTTTCCTCCTTACCCAGGGGTGACAAATATTCTGTTACTATATATTTATGTATTCAGTGAATAATATATAGCTTTGCTTTGCATATTTTATGCTTTATTTGAATAACATTTTACTTTATCTGATCTGCAACTTGCTTGTTTAAAACTTTTGAGATTTATCTAAGTTGACATATTTAGGTCTAGGTCCTTTATTTCACTGATGTATAGAATTCTAATTTCCACATGTATCATAATTCATTTATCAATATCTATTAATGGACATTTAGGCTATTAGGCTACAAAGTTGGAACTTTTTGATACCCATTATTATTTTAGCATAATCTTGGGTAAACACATATGACAACCGATCACTAAAATTCATGTAAAATAAAAAGGTAAAAAATGTAAATTAAAAAAAGGAACAAAATAAAATCTAAACTTCCAATAAGAACAAGGTAATCCATTTAAATTTTGTTTCAATGAAATTGTCAGAGTATTTACCTAGACTCTGTCCTTCTGAAGGAACATAAAACACTTTTACAATTTAATTTTAAGTGTACTAGGATCAATATTTTAAAAAGTGTTAATTGTGAAGTGAGAGTGTTATCAGGTGCAATGATCAAGAGGACAGCTTTTAAATCAGATTGCATTGGACTCCTGGATCTGTTATTGATTAGTTGAGAGATCTTGCTCAGGGTATTTAACCTCTTTAAGTCTCAGTCCCTCTGAGTAAAAACGGGATAACTGTTGAACTCATGTTATAGGGTTATTGTAAATGAGATGTAAATGCATAAAAGCTAAGGGTTTGACATAAATTAGAGCTAAGAAAGCACCAATAAATAGGAAAAAAAGTCTGCTGAGAAATTTGAGTCCTTATATTATATATACATGTACACACACACACACACACACACACACACACACATGCACAGAGGCTTATTTACACATATATTTAAAATTTCATTAATTTAAGTAAGCCATATTTTTACATTAGTTTGGACAACTGTTATTATTATAATGACAACTTCTAAAAAATCTGTGGGGTCAATACTATAATTCTCCATACAGGTAGACCCTTGTAAAATGGGACATTTTTGTAACCTTGGAAGCCAAGTGTTATTAGAATTTGAAAATTCACCAGTGCATAAAAAAATACAATCTTTCACAACCTGTGTTAAAGTATCACGTCAGTGGGAAACAGGAGTCCCTTTATTTTTAACACAGTTAAGAGCTTGTGAATACAAAAAGGAGTGTTCTTTTGTTAGTAATGAAACAAGTACTTTATATTATTAATAAGGTACCAAGTGTATAAAGAAGAACTTTTGGAAATCACTGTACTTGGAAGTTAGACTGAATAAAAAATGGTAATGAAGACTTTTAAGGTGCCACCCAGGTTCTGAATTTTGGGTGTCAATATGGTACTCTTTTAACACCAAAATGTGACTAGGAAAGATTCAGCCATGTTGTGGCTCACAAAAATAAATACTGTGTACTCTTAATAGAAATGGGTTTGTGTAGCTAAATCTTCAGTATGTGCTAGAATTTTGAGACTGGAATGGGATGGGTCTAAGCCTGCTTTTTGTATGTTAATGAGCTTTCACAGCAAAGGTTTATGAATTAACACAGACGGAAGTACTCTTGAAGAAAGACATTTATCTCCTTATTGCCTTCTGTGATGGATTGTTCAGAGCTAACAGAACACCAGGCCTCAACCAAATCTCCCAGTGCCTAGTTTGTACAATCTCCTTTTCAATAACACAAAGTCAGGGCAGCCTCACTGCCAGACCAGCACTTCTTTGGGAATCTTCTCATAATATGACAGGATAGAACCATCTGTAATACAAATCAACACTATTATTTTCAAAGCAAGCACTTTAAAAGGTTGTTTGAACAAGAAAAGATGAATTTGCCGAGTTGTGTGCTATCTAGCAGTTAAAGTAAGATTACGCTGTGAATTGCACTATACTGAGTGTTACATTTTATCCTGATGTGTTTTAAGTTGAATTGGGTAAACAGTGTTAGATGTTCTGTTAGTGTTAATATGCAAGATGTGGTGATTAGGTATGATTGTTTCATAAAACCACTGTACTCTATTTTTTTATTGTTCCTTTGATCTCTGAGAGGTACTGAAAACAAAATTTGTAGCTTAAAATATGCTGACTTTGATGCAGAAATTAATTTTCAAGTTGTGAATTTACTGATTTCTAAAATATTATAGCTAGATTGTAAACAAACAAAACAAAACAGAAAGCCCTAAAAACTTTAGTCTGCAAGAAAAAATGCCAATTTCTGTTTTTTTTTTTTTTCAAATTTGTCTGAAGCCATTTTATCTTTAAAATTTTTGAATCCTAATTTAAGGTGAAGGACCTATGCTCAATGACTTGATACAAACTTTTGAGAAACAGCGAGGAGGTTGACCTTATAAGGTAGTTGCACTTAAATGATCACAGTTGAACTAGTGTTAGTGTTCTTGTTCTAACGTTAGCTTTGTTTTTTCTATATAGCGTAAGGTTGGGGACTACCTTTTTGTTTGTTTTCTTTTAAATATATATAGTCACCCTTATAGTTTGTTTACATTCCACTAATTCCCTACCAATAATTTTCAAAAGATTTTCTGCTATTTAGTCTTAATTTTTAGTGTGTTTGTTGATTAATTCTGTGGTTCCTTGAAGTGACTGAAGGCCATCAATAAAGGGGAAACTTTACATATAGCCTTCAGTATTTTTAAAAATAGTGTACTGTGAAATGTTCCCTAAATCACATATTTTGACAAGGCCTGCTTCCACTTAAATATGTGTAAAGTCAGCAGGCAAATTTCTCAATAACCTAAAAATCTGTTATTTCCGCTGTCACCTCACATCAAACCATAATTTTTCTATGGTAGTATTTAGCTTACCTGAGTCTAGCCACTATTTATATATTTCTGTAGCTTGTAAAATATCTAGTTATTGTTCTGTCTATTTGAGCTTGTTTGTCCTAATGATTTATTTTAATTTTCTTTAGGATGCAGACCTGCTGCTAATTGGATTTGATTTATAAGAGGCAAATCTACAGTCAATGGCCACTCTTGTCACGTTGCTACTATGGAAAACAGAATGGTCAATAGGATATGGTCTGATAAATAGTGATGATTGAAGATGCTACTACAATACATGTGAAATCAATGGGAGATACTGGATACATAAAGAACTTTCTGAGCTTTTCTTGACAAGCTCTCCTTGAAGAAGTTGGAGGTGTGTTCTACCATTATCCAGGCTTTCTCAAGTGGATACAAATACCTTTGCCTCATTGTAACCAGACAACTACACAACTAATGTGGGACCATGGCACTGCCCAGATGCATGTGGCCAAATTATGTGTGGAGAGCAGTAATGGCATGCTTGGTACACAGGGGATTGGGTGCCTCATTGACTCTCTGTGTGTTGGGATGTTTACTTCAGGCTGCCCGTGTGCTTTCACAAAAATTGGATGATGCAGACCCATTGGTGACTACCAACTTTGGCAAGATAAGAGGGATGAAGAAAGAACTCAATAATGAAATTTTGGGGCCTGTTATTCAGTTTCTTGGGGTTCCGTACGCAGCCACACCAACAGGGGAACATCGTTTTCAGCCTCCAGAACCACCATCTCCCTGGTCAGATATCAGGAATGCGACGCAGTTTGCTCCTGTGTGTCCCCAGAATATCATTGATGGCAGGTTGCCAGAAGTCATGCTTCCTGTGTGGTTTACCAATAACTTGGATGTGGTTTCATCATATGTGCAAGACCAGAGTGAAGATTGCCTGTATTTAAACATATACGTTCCGACTGAGGATGGTGAGTTTACTGCCAAAAAACAGGGAGATTAATTTATATTTTCTTTTCTATTCTAAGTTCTAACAATATTGATTCATGTGTACTGGTAGCATGCATGGCTTTTCCTGTTGGCATGTAGACATATTTTACATGCTTGCATGTCGCTCTTTTTGTTTATGTGCGTTAATGTACCTGTTCTTGTTTTTTTCCTATGCCTACTCATTTTCTTTCCTCCACAGCACGTATATTCAGGTAGAAATGGGTTCCTAATTTCCATTTCCTACCAAATGACTTCTGAGAAGATGCATCAACATTTCTCCATTGCATGTGCAGGCTCAAGGAATTGGGGATCTTTCGCACTTAGTAAATGCAGGAGCATATTAAGTTAGATAGTGGTATTGCATGTTCCGGCGGTCTGTGATGGAGCGCCATGTTATTTTCTAGTCTTCTATTCATTTTTCAGTAAAAAGAATATCCAAGGAATGTGCCAGAAAACCCGGCAAGAAAATATGTAGAAAAGGAGGTATGTATAAAAGTGGAAATAAAAAAATGGGGGAAAAGCTTGCAGAGGAAGAAGATATTCTCCCTAAGGATGATTTGCTGAGCTGGGAAGTAAATGGTTAGGTGATATTTGGAATTTAATGCAGGCCTGTCAAGGAATAGAAAGATGATTAAGGAGAGCTATAGCTGAATACATAATATTGACAAAGCTTATTGGTGGTGTCTTATGTAGCTTGGTGCTGGTATCATCGATAGGAGTTGGATCTCTGCTTGGAGTTTGTGTTTAGAGGACAAGATGTGTTTAGGCTATGACATTGCCTATAAGAAACACAAATGATGCTGCCTTACCAATTGGTCGACTTTATCTCTGAAATCAGTTCTACAGATAAAGATTTCTGTTCCTCTTAAAACTGGTCTGCTCTGTCACAAACCGAGCCTTGTGTTTGCTTATTCTTAGCTACTTCTGAAAGCCCTCTGAACTTTCTCATATAAGAGTAATTTGCCGTAACTGTGGGGCAGTCACCATTATTCAGTCCTGGTATTTTTTCCCAGATAGTCTATATTTTCAGTTACTCTTCCAGAAAAGAATGAGATTTTGCAGACTTATACTAAATATTTACAGTCTTAACATTACTTTAACATTTTTGTATTTATGTTAAACAATTTAACACATAGGGAAGAACATGATTCAGAAGCTACAATTAAATCAACCTTCAAATCATCCTCCAGCCAGATTGAGCACATGTACGCACTGACAGCTGCAAGCTTGCATCTGAATGTAGCTTGTCCACACTCCATTTTTATATAACATCCAGTAAATCACTCATAAGAGACTATGATTTTTCTATGGCAGTAAATCATCCAAGTGTTATTTTGACCTTATTCATAACTTTGTAGAATTTCCAGTCCTCATCCAGAAGTCATATTAATATTTCAGTGCTATACATTCTATCTCTCTATGTACTTCTAATATGGCTGGGCCAAGTCAGATTTCATTACAACATCCTGGTGGGCAGTGAGTGTCTAAACTGTTCTGTTTTACAATGATTGCATTATTTGGAAGAAGCTTCATATAACAAAATTCTCAACTGCTGATAAGCGTGTTCACATTCAACTGAGTTTTGCTTTAGTTTGGTTTGGTTTTTATTTCTTTGGTCATACTAGCAGAATGAGATATAACCTTTATTTTATTATTGATGTTATGATATGGGTTAAAAGCACAGTATACTTGAGAAAGCGGATATAGACACAACAAAGGTGTTTTAAACAACCAAAACAAAGTCTCTTGTTTTTCCCCAAATGAGAATAACTGCAGTAATTTACATGCCTTTAACTAATGTACAGCACTGCAGTGGTTATTATTATGCAGCTTATCAAGCATGTGTAATTAGCTAAGTGACTTTCACCTCCTATCACAAAGATGTTGATTCACAAAGTCATAAATAAAGATGCTATTAAAGAATGTATAAATAGAGCATAATACATGAAAATATGTACAATTAAGAAAATGATAAGATAACAAAAAGGTAAGCTAGTCAGTAAGAAAGTGACCTTTCCTCTCATACAACTTCAGGGGGACAAGGATTCATTAGAAAATTCTTTTCCATCATTCTTTGGATGTTCAGTTCCATTGGCTATATGAGAGAGTTGGCAAAGAGGTGTGTAAGGCTGTGCTGTTTACTTTGGCAACTTTGAACTCACTTATAATTAGTCTTAGGACAATATCTGTAGATACCTATTTCAATTTGTGTGGTTTATAGTCTAAATCTATTGTGTTTTTTATGTTATACAGTTTAAATAATTATTTTGTTTTGGTATTCAATAATCCTTATTATTACATAACTTTTGTTCATTTATTAGTTGTTTGTATATTATTCCAAAGTCTAAATAACAAGGGTTTTAAATGTAGCTTTCTATCTAGATAAACTTTTTAAAACTAAATAAAATTAAAGTTTAGAGCTTTTAAGCAGAGGAGTAAAATTCTTTTTTCCAGACTTTTAATTTTTTTTTCTCTATCATGGAGGGTCTCTTTTGGTCACTTTGTGAAATCATACTATTCTGGTTTAAGAAAATATTAGTCATTTCATATCTATACATATAACAATATATGTCTCATGTGGACTCTATGTTCTTCAACAGAATTCTAGATGGTGGTTCAGGAAGTATAGGAATAGATGTGCTGCATTTTATAGGTGATAAGATATTTTGGTTTGTTATTATTTACCTTTTTATTTAAATTGTTTGTAGTCACCTTCCAAGGCAGCTGAGCCCCCCACCCCTGTGCCAAGTACAATAAAGCTGTGCATACTATATTCATCCAAAACTATTTCTTAATTGCTTAAACCACGCACTATTCAACGGAGTCAGTAATGAATGAAAGAAACAAAGATCTTTCTTCCCATAGAACTTACTGCATTCAAGTAAATATACAATGAACAAGCATTTTCTCCACATTAGTCTGTATAACAGGAAGAAAATCTTTTACTTCCTGTAAGAGATCCCTTGCTATAGTGTTTAAATAGAGCTTTTGTAATATTATCCTGTACAGTTGAAAGAGGAAAAAACCCCATTTTTGTCAATAGGCTCCCACTCATTTAAAACAGGTCCCAGTTGCACTTTTCAATCTATCTTTTTATATTTCCCATGACAGTTTCAGCCATATGTTAATTACTCTCTAGATATGTCTTTAGGGTATTATCCTTGCAAAATTGAAAGGTAGGGGCTTAAACTGAGATGGCCGTCAGCACTTGGCCAAATGGGCAGATAACGTGTGACAGAAACTGGAATTTGGATGTAGTGGAAAGAGGTAATTTATCACCAACAAATTTATGAGAAAAAATATTACCTTCCTTATTGTATAAATAAGAAAGTAGGTTCTGAGGTTAAGTGTTCTGATCCAATCTCTATTGCTAAACCTAAGTGATAGTTAGATTTGTCTCTAGTTCTTGCTTCTATTAGATACATTTCCATTATTTTAAATTATCTCTTCTAGAGATATATTTTTTAATTTTAATTTTATTTATTTATTTTGAGAGGGAAAGAAAGAGAGCAAGCAGGGAAGGGGCAGAGAGAGAGGGAGAGAGAGAATATCTAGTTGGCTCCATGCTGTCAGTGTAGAGTTAGAAATGGGGCTCAATCTTATGGTTTCTGAGATCAAGACTGGAGCTGAAATCAAGTCAGATGCCTAACCGACTAAGCCACTCAGGGGCCCCTCCTCTAGAGATTTCTATAGCTTTTGTAATATATCATCTCTCTACCTTGATCTCCCTTTCTTTTTTTATTCCTTTAAGACATATCATGAATTCTTGTTTTTCAACCTGTGGACTCTATTTTAGATAAATTTCATGCTCACGTTAACTGAATTGGTTCAAGACAATGATAGCAGCTGATTTTCAGAAAACATGCTAGTAACCATTGTAGTGAATGTACTTCATTCCTACACATAATTTTATTACTGTCTAGGCCAAAATCTCAGCATATTTCTCCTGGCTACTATCAGGAGTAGCTTTAATTTGCTTATGTTTCATTTTGTTTCTTTAGTTTGCTGTCTTGTGAGAGTTGCCAACAAACAGAAGAGTGGTCAAATATTAGGCAGTAAACATGAGAAGGAGGAACAAGGGACCCAGAGAATCCACAAACAAATTGATTGGCTCATGGATACCCTGGAGCTGTGCAGCTTTGCATTTCTCTAGCACTTTGACTGTTGTTTGCATAGCTTTTCTGAGATGAATTCAGAATTGATTTTCCTTTTTGCAGTGGTGAGAAATTGTTAACCTAATTGTCTCATTTACCTCAGTTTTTAATGTATAGAAAATTAGAATCTTAATAGATGACTCTTGCATAATTTTTTACTCTTTGAGACTTTTATTCCTGATTTTCATAAGTATTTTACTTGTACATTCTCCGTTTAGTATTCATTACCTGAGATAACATTGACTTGATTCAAGAGTCTTTTCCACACATTAGAGTCTATCTGGTTCTTTGTTGTACATAGAGACTGATTTTTTCCTAATTAAATATGTATAGCAATACTCCTTTCATTGTTAATGTGTTTAAAAATTATATTCCAGAATGCTCTTCCTTCTTGCTTATATGTTTTTAGCAAATTTAATTATCTAACAAATATTTATTGAGTCCTTACTCTGTGCCAATTAGATTACTGCTCTAATACCCAGAGATACATTACATCAGTGAAAAGTGTAAAAAATAAAAATAAACAAAAAATCCTTGATCTCCTCAAGCTTACATCTAGTGTGTGGAGACAAATTGTAGACAATAAACACAATTAACAAGTAAAGTTAAAAGGTGTAAGACGATGAGAAATCAACAGAATATGGAGGATCAGGGGTGCTGATGTGATGGATCAAGGTAATTTTAAATAAGATATTTAGCATAGTCCTCATTCCAGCAAAGACCTGAAGGAGATGAAGTGGATATCCGGGGAGGTGAAGTGATTATCTGGGGAGAGAGCAGAGTAAAGAGCTAGTACAAAGGCATTAAGGTGAGAGTCTGCGTTGTGTAATTAAGGAATAATTACGGCTATTGTATATCTGAAAGGGGAGAGAGGGGCAATGAAATTCAGAATGATCTGACTTTTTATTAAAGATATAATGCCAACACAGCAAATGAAACTATAAACAAAATGAAAAAGTAAACTACCATGTGGGGAAAAATGTTTGTAAATGATATATCTGATAAAGAGTTAATATTCAAAATATATAAACAACTTATGCAACTTAACACCAAAACAAAAGCCTCACAAATAATACAAATTAAAAGTGGCAGAGGAACTGAACAGACATTTTTCCAAAGAAGAGATGCAGATGGCCAACGGACACATGAAAAAATGCTCAACATCACCAATCATCAGGGAAATGCAAATCAAAACCACAACAAGGTATGATCTTACACCTGTCAGAGTGGTTAATATCAAAAAGACAAGAAGAGATGACTGCTGGCAAGAATGTAGAGAAAAAGGAACCCTTGTGCACTGTTGGTGGGGATGCAAATTGGCATAGCCAT